GGGAATGTCATAAGAAGGAGATTGGGGCAGAGAAAGACAGGGACGGTCAGGACTCAGTGACTTGACTTCCATGGAATATTCTGGAATATATCCATTGAGAGACAAGAATTGACTTTATGGTTTATTTCTCTATTCTCATGCCTAAATTTTTTATATTAATCTCCTGGTTTATGCACTTATTTCTGCTTCTGCCACCACAAAAATTAGGGCAAGAAGACATAAATATCAGAGCAAGCTTTTACTAATTTCTTTTTGTAAAAAATAAATAAACATAGCTTCCTGCTGAACCAAGAGTCTATCTAGTAAGACACAAAAATACGAAATCATTTTCAACAAGGTCTTGAAATTTTAGAAAAAACTGCAAGGCAGAGAGAAGTACATTTGAGCATTGAGAATCAATACCACTTAATGCTATGCCTGTGTTCCCAAGGCATCACAAGACACTCAGTACTTTTCAAGATGTTAGAATTCAAACTTAGCTACCATGTTGGAAACGAAGCTCAGTGTGTTTTACTGATTAAAAGTAATTCCATAGATCTGGCTTTTTCCAGGACATGGTGATGTCCAGACATTAGCAAAGCAGGTGAAATGGGAGACCCGCAGGGAACAAGTATCCCATTGTGGCTGTCACCTGGGAATTCCAACGGGCAGCACATTCTGCAACAAGAAGCTTCCAGTTCAGGCTGGAGGGTTTCCTGTGCACAGCAAAGACCTTTCACCATACTGCTGGGCTCTGGCTTAGAAGACGGGGAAATTAACAGAAGAAAATGGGTGTTAGAAGAAGGAGATTGGGGCAGAGGAGAGAGAGGTCACATAAAACAAAGATGCCTGAAAATAGAGAGGGGGCAGGCAAATGAGGTTGCACACCTGTTTCTGGTTTCTGCTCTCTGCAGTCTGTTTGTGCTTGCAGGAAGAACTTCTGCCTTGCTCAGAGCCGTAGACCTATAATGTGAATTGACCTTTCTCAAGAAATTCACAGCTAGAAAAAGTTGGCAAGGTTTGACTGAAGCTGGGAGTGCTTCCCTAGGTCATGCACAACTACTCTCACAACTTAAATCCTCCTGCACATGTTTGAAAATCTGAGTGTCTTCATTTACTCAGTGTTTGATTTAAGAAAAAGAGAACCAGGAACTCCAGGTGAACAAGTTTTCAAAAGCTGTCAGTGGAGAGGTACTTGTTACAGGTGTAGGAATGAGTTCAAGGGGGTGCGGTTTTATGGTAAGCCTGCCGAGGCCCTTTCTCTCCTCAATGGATGCCAGCAGGCAGGTCCCTGTGGCCCTCACCCAGGGGGGTTCTGACCCACCTGTAGCCTTGAATTGAGCTTTCCTTGCCAATTAGCTCTGCAATGAGCCCATATGCTCTTTACTTCCCTGAATAAGAGGCTGCTACAGATACAGAGGACAGGAAGGTTTCCAGTGACTAATTTGCCTATACTTTAGTCATCTTCACCAGTGCCAAGGAGTCTGTGGTTTCACGGTGACTCATTCTGCAATGTTCATGGCTGTAGAAGCAATGAAGGAGAACACTGAAGGAGAGTGAGTGAAGCAGCCCCTGAGAGGCTGAACCTGGGGCAGCCAGGGCGCAGGGTGTCTATGGTTCTAGATAAAACTGCCTACCGCATCCAGCACATGACTTTGGATGTGATTCTTAGGGTGTCAGTGGTGTGGGTCAACCTGTGCCTGACGAGATGACCTCTGTGTTGCTCATGAGGACCTGAGGGATGACACTCCATGCTGCCACTCCAGACAGAACCCCCATCTCCAAGGCAGTCGGCTTAGTGTTTCAACACCTCCCTGTCATGACCCCATCTGACCAGACAAAGCTAACACAGGCCAAAGACCAGCCTACCTCTTATCACCCTTCCCACAGCTCCCTGAACTCCAGGCCTTGATATCAGGCCAAGAACAAGAAGTTCTGCCTCTGGTTGTGGCCATTTCTGCTGAGTCATGTGGACTCAGCTCCACTTTCCACAGATATTTTAAAAAGAGCTGCCCCACAGCTTCATTAGGTACCTGACAGCAAAGAAGAGCTCATTGAAAATACCTAAATAAAAACATCCAAGTCCTGACATACCGGGATGACTGGGCTTCTAGAAATGCCAAGAAAATTGATTTGGGTTTAATGATAAGCTCTGGTTGCACCATCATGGACAGTTTCAGGAAACACTGAGGACACCGATAGAGAAATACAAGGTCCACGTGGAAAATGAGCAAGATGAAGCAGAGGCATTACACAGACTCCAGTGCCCCAGAAAAGGTGAACAGGGAAGCATGACGTAAGAACTGCTGCTCCGGATCCAACCCGTAGTCTGCTCCAGCCAGTGTTCTGGAGTTTGGAAAATAATATTTCACAAGATGATTTCTGAATTCACACGTTTGTTGGATATGGATGTATGTCAGGGAGCGCCCTGGCGCATCACCCCCACCTCCAGCCAATATGCTCCATGGATCCCTCCTGGGATGTTTACAGCTCATGTCAAATTTCAGAGCTAAACCCAGCTTCCCACCTCAGGGCCCTTCTCCACCAGCCTGTCCAGGGACAAAACTCAACATAACTCAAGCCTGGATTTGTGAGCAGAGATGGGCTCTCCCTGTTGGAGAATGAGAGCATGCATTATTTAAGTTCCTTTTCACTTAATTTATCAAACTAATATGCCGAGGTATTTTCTGTATCACAAGGGACCGTTTGGTAACAGCTTTCATGGAGTAAGCGTTTAATGTTTACCGAGTGAATGTATAATAAAGCTGAATCGCTGAACGCTTAAGTAAACATGGCCTATTAGAGGGAAGGCAATGTGGTGTCAGTAAGGAGAAATCACGTCTCGCTAATCTCCTTGAGTTCTTTGAGCAGATAATAAGCATATGGATAAGAGGGAACCACAGAACCCAATTTAATTTGACTTTCAAAAACCTGTGAAAAAATCCCACTTTAACGACTGTTTTTTAAAAAATTGAGTCACTAAGGGTTGTTTTATCATGGCTATGGAATTGGCTTAAAGACCATAAACAAAGCTAAAGATAAGTGGATACACTCCCAGATGGAAAACTATAAACACTGGGGTTTCCTGGAGATCTCACCTACGATGGGTCTTTTCACATGTTCATGAATGACTGAGATGAAGAAGACTATATTGCAACTCCAGGTTCAAGTAATACCTCATTATTCTGGGAAGAATGTCAAGTTGATGGAGATTCCATTCAGTTGGAAAAAGAATATATTGGATGCTGAAGAGTCAATATGTGTTTATGTCATGGGGTATATAAAAGAAATAGAAGATACAGTTCTTGGCCTTAAAGAGCTAATAATCAAGCTAGAGTGAAAGTCACATCCTCCTTTACTGTAAATAGTGGAAGGCACAACGGGATCAACTGTGAAAATGAGTGATGCACATGGTGAGCGCTGTCAGAGTTCAGGGAAGGAGAAAAGTGGATGGGGATGGAGGCAGGGAAGGCTTCCTGGAGGAGGCAGAATCTGAGGAGTGTCTTGAAGAATAGAAAGAGTTTGGATGGGTGTGGAAGGGGTGGAGGGTTTTCTTGTGAAAGCACTAATGTGTCACCTGCCAAGTACTGTGTAGAGGGAGAGGTTATATGCATGACCCCAACTGGCTTTGCGACAGTCCAGTAAGGTGGATCATATCCCCCAATTCCAGGCCTTGAGAGGAGGCCAAGAATAAGAAGTTCTGCCACTGACTGTGACCATTTCTGCTGAGTCATGTTGATGATTCAGCTCCACTTTCCATGATATTTTTAACAAGAGCTGTACCAGCTATTTTTTAAGTTAAGAAATGTGGCCAGGTACAGTGGCTCAGGGCTGTAATCCCAGCACCTTGGGAGGCCAAGGTGAGAGGATCCCTTGAGGCCAGAAGCTCGAGACCAACCTGGACGACATAGTAAGACCCCATCTCTGCCAAATATTTTTTTTAAAAAATTAGCTGGGCATGGTGGCACATGCATGCAGTCCCAGCTACCCAGGAGGCTGAGGCGGGAGGATCACTTGAGCCCAGGAGTTTGAGGCTGCAATGAGCTCTGATCACACCACTGCACTCCAGCCTGGAGAGCAACATCCTGTCTCCAAAAAAAAAAAAAAAAAAAGAATGTGCTCAAACTCACATCATAATAAATATGAGCCCCACTGTTATGCTACCTTCAATTCTGGAGCAGTGTCAGTGTGAGCAAGGCAGAAGAGGTCAGGCCTCTCCAGAGCAGGTGAGGGTGAGCAGGGAGAGGCTGGAGTGACCGCTTGAATTGGGGAGTGGTGAAAGACCGGATGGAGCACAGACAATGGATTTAAGTCACAAGGGCCCTTACATATAGTCTGGGGAACTTGAACTTAGTCCTGAAGGCTTAATCCCATGCTGAGTGGAAGAGGAAGGAAACTGGAACCATACCCTGGAGTTTGGGGCCCTGGACCTAGTCTGGGTGGAGGGGAGGGTGAGGGGATGTGAAAGAAATTAGGAAGGGCAGACAAATGGCTTGAGAAATTGACCAAAGCTGAGGGCAATGTTATTTGGTCCCCTCTGCTTGAACATGTGCATCAAGTATGTCTGTCCCGAGCACGCCAAACCTTTTTAAGGTCAGCTCTCAGGGTCACATGTCCTGGTGGCATGGGAGGGAATATGGAGACACTGGTTGGCAAGTGCTGTCTCGTGTCTCATGGGCTCGGGCAGTCTCAAGCACTGTGGTAGGTTCCTGGGAGTGCCTTTGCTGCTTGCTTGGATATGGCTTGGTGGTCCATGCACTTTGACTTACTGGCTTTTTAATAGCTTCAACTTCCCTTGAGCTTTAGCTTTCTTGAAGCATTTCTTAAATGTAAATGCCACTCTTTTGTACCAGTCCCACAGATCCCTTTTGAAAATCTGAGTTCACTGAGGTGCTGAGTTTTGAGTAGAACTAACATAAACCTGATCAGAGGCCTGATTGCATCCCCACTCAACCTGACATGTAGTGCCTCCATCTTAGAACGATTCCCATTCATCTATACACAGAAACAAAACTACGTACCATTCTGTTGGTAAAGTTACTGAAGTTCTCGACTAACACCTGCTTGATCATGTCCGGCTCGGAAATAACAATAAACATCCGACGACCAAGATAGTACCTGGGAGGAATAAAACATACTTTAAAATGTGTTACATGTACCCATGTCTCCTTTCCAAAAAAGAATTCACATTGGCTCAGAATGAGGGATGAAGGATAACTAGGAAGTAAAGGTGTGGAGACCATGAGGAAATGCATGTTCCCATCATGAGCAACCATATAGCTGTGATGATCTAACATCAAATATCTTTCCATCAGCACTCATGGAATACCACCTTGCACCAGTCCCTGGAGATGCTGGCTGGAATAAGATACACTCCCTGCCCCAAGGAGCTTATTACAGCCTAATAGGAAAGACAGAGCTATACATGTAAATGCAATAATAAGGGGTCCATAAGGTCCAGTAGTAAGACAAAGAAGGAAAATGACAGAGGTCAGCGTTGTCTGTATTTCCCCAAAATGTAAAGATAGGGATTCTAGCAAGAGAAGACCAATGACCTTTATACTGATTCTCAGAAAAAGTTTAATGTGAATCAGTGAACAGATGCCTGTGAGGAAAGATTAAACCTGCTTGGGAAGAACTGAACATCTGGTTGCCACCCCTATGTATAAAGGAGCTCAACAGATAGATTTTTAAATATTTTATTTTTATTTTTGTGATAGAGTCTTGCTGTTTTGTCCAGGCTGTAATACAGTGATGCTATCTCAGCTCAATGCAACCTCTGCCTCCTGGGTTCAAGCAATTCTCCTGCCTCAGCCTCCTGAGTAGCTGAGATTACAGGTGCCCATCACCATGCCCAGCTAATTTCTGTATTTTTAGTAGAGACAGGGTTTCACCTTGGTGGCCAGGCTGGCCTTGAACTCCTGACCTCAAGTGATCCCCCCCATCTTGGCTTCCCTAAGTGCTGGGATTACAGGCATGAACCTCTGTGGCCAGCCCTCAACAGATACTTAATGACAATAATAAAGATATGGATGAAAGGCTCGTCCGGTCAGCTGGTGGCATGAATTCTAACTGGAGATAGTGCTTAAATACATGTCATATTATATTTATGAAAGTACTGGGGGCACAAAAGCAATCAAGACCCAGTCACAGTTTCCAAGGGTCTGACCATCTGACGGGTGAGGTAGTTAGGCAATTAACATATAGCGTGATGTTCTGCCAGGCATGAGTGACCCTGGAGGCACACCCTCAGTGCCTAAAGGAGAGAGAGTGAAGGCTTCCCAGAGGTGGTGCTTCCCAAGCTGAGTTCTGGAAGATGGCAAGAGTTGGTCCAGGAAGAAGGGGTGACAAAGGAGGCAAGGGTGTGCTGGCTGGAGGAATCAGCCTGAGCAGCTGGGCCAGGAACAAGCCTGCTTGGGGGAACCATGAGTGCCCCCCCACCAACTGCCCAAAGCAAGCCAGAGCGATGACAAGCGGCCCACTGTATAATGACATGTTTTCAGTGTACGAAATGATACTTTCAGGGATGTAATTTGATCACTGGTGTATCCAGCTCAGAGCAGTAAGGAACAGATTTTAAAGGGGAAAGTCACACGGAAAAGCAGCCAATTTAACTCTGGTACTTAATTTACTAAGAACTTTTCATAAACCCAAATGACATCAATTTTTTTAACTCTTTTCTTTCTCATCGACTATGAAAAACAATAAAAAATACGTGTCTGTCACGTATTAGGCACTTGGAAAATATTTACCCGAGTCATCATATTTTCCAAAATTGTGAGGAAAATCTTTGGGAAACAGGAATTCAACAGATGTGGTACAAAGAAAGAAAAGAATACTAACTAGTTTTTGTGTTTGTTTGTTTTTACTGATTTTAACCAAGAAAACAAAAAACAACTCAATAAGTCCATAAACCAATGCTTTTATAAAATTTATGGTGAGGGTCATAGGGTCTTTTGAGAATCTAGTGAAAGCTGTGAACGCTTAGAGCATTCTGTATGCAATTTGAGAAGTCCTCGGATCTCTCAACGCCACTCCAGAGCAATGTTTCTCAAATTTGCAATGTGCTTAAAAGTCACCTTGGCTTGAAGAAATAACAGCTGAAAATTTCTCCAGTTTCACAAAAGACATAAACCTACAGATTGAAGAAGGTGAGTGAATCTCAACTTGATGAACCCAAGGAAATCCATGCCAAGATACATCATAGTTAAACTTCTAAAACTAAAAAAGAAAGAAAAACATCTTGAAAACAACCAGAGAGAAATGATGTATTATCTATAGGGAACACCGGTTCAAAGGACAGTAGGTTTTTTATCAGGAACCATGGAAGCCAGAAGGAAGTGGCACATTTTTCAAGTGCTGAAAGGAAATAACTGTCAATCACAAGTCATCTATTTGGTGAAAGTATCCTTCAAGAGAAAAGTGGAAATAATGGCATTCTCTGCTGAAGGAAAACTAAGAGATTTTGTCACTCACATATTTACCCTTCAAGAATGGCTGAAGAACATTCTCTAAACAGAAAGGAAAGGGAGATGATAACAGAAGAAAGTTTAGAACTTCAGAAAGGAAAGAAGGATAATGAAATGGATAAAAATAATACACTATCCTTCTCAGAAGTCTCTTAAATCATACCTGATGGTTCAACCAAAAATTATACCATCATATGATGCAATACTCAATATACTTAGAGGAAATACTTAAGACAATTATATTTAAAAAGTAAGGAGGCTCAAGGGATCAAAATGGAAGTAATATTTCTACACATCACTGAAAATGGTAAAGCATTCATACTCAGAGGTTGTGATAAATTACATATGTGTATTTACATAAGCACTAGGAAAACAAAAAAACCTTATCAAGCACAGGGAATGAAATAATAAAAAAATAAGTGAAGAACTGAATGAACCGGAAAACAAAATAAAACAAAAAACACAGAAAAATTCATGAACAAAAAACTGGTTCTTTGAAAAACATCAATAAAGTTGATAAACCTTGAGCAAGACTAACAAAAATAAAAAAGAGAAGAAACAAATCACCAATATAAGGAATGAAATGGGATATCACTACAAATACTGCAGCCATTAAAAGGTTAAGGGACTACTACAAACAACTTTAGACTAATACATTTAAAAACTGGAAGGAAATTGACCAATGCTATGAAAATGACAAACTGCTAAAACTCAACCAAGATGAATTAGACAATCCAAATAATCTCACAACCACAAAACAATGAATAATTTTAATTAAATTTCAGAATTTATTCATAATTTTTTTCTTTTTTCACATCTACTTCTTGAATTAATTTTTTTTAATTCATAATTTTAAATTTCCTGAAAAAGACATCTCCAGGCCAGGATGGTTTCAATGGAGAATTCTAACAAATATTTAAAGAAGAATTAACACTAATTGTACAATACCTTCCAGAAGATAAAAGGGGAGGGAACACTGTACAACTCAATTTATGAAGACAGGTTTACTCTGATACCAAAACCAGCCAAAGATAGTACAAGAAAACTATAGACCAGTATCCATCATGAGCTTAACCACAAAAATTTTCAACAAATCAAATCTAGTAATATATAAAAAGACTTAAATACCAAAACCAAGGGGTATTTATTCTAGGTGTTCAAGGCTGATTCAATATTTTTCAAATCAATAAATATAATTCACTATATTAACTGCCTAAAATTAAAAAAAAATTATGTGATTGTATCAGTTGACATGAGAAAGCATTTGGCAAACTCCAGCACTTGTTTATGATAAAAACTCTCAGGAATAGAGAGAAAGTGCCTCAGCTTGATAAGGAGCATCTACAAAAACCCTACAGCTAACATCATACTTAATGTGAAAGACTGAATGCTTTTCCTTAAGATGGGGAACAAGGCAAGGATGTCCTCTCCTACTACTCTTATTTGACATAGTATTGGAAGTTCTAGACAGTGCAATAAGGCAAGAAAAATAAATGAAAAGCATATAGTCTTAAAAAGAATAAATACAATTGTCCCTAATTTGAGATGACATGATATCTACAGCAAAAATGCTAAGAAATTTCAAAACAATCTTAGAACTAATAAGTGAGTTCAGCAAGGTCGCAGGATTCCAGATCAACATACCAAAAAAAAAAAAAAAAAAAATAGCATTTCTACATGTTAACAATGAACATGTGTAAACCAAATGAAAGCACAATGCAGTTTACAATGTTGATGAAAGAAATAAAAGAAGACCTAAGCAAATGGAGAAACATATGTTCATGAATTGGAATACTCCACAATGTAAAGATATCAGTTCTCGAAAAACTGTCATATAGGTTTAATGCAATGCCAATCAAAGTTTTAGCAAGGATATTTGTAGGTGTAGACAAATGTATTCCAAAACTTATATGAAAAGGCAAAGAACTTAAAATAACTAACTCAATTTTGAAAAAGAATGAAGTGGGAAGAATCAGTCTACTACATCCCAAGACTTGGCTATAGTCATCAAGACTGTGTGGCATTGGCAGAAAAACAAACACATAGATCAACGGGACAAAATAGAGAACCCAGAAGTAGACCCACATATATAAGCTTAACTGATAATTTTAATAAGTATACAAAGCAATTCGGTTCAGGAAGGGTACGTTTTTCAACAAGAGATGCTACAGTAGGCCAGGCATGGTGGGTCATGCCTGTAATCCAGCACTTTGGGAGGCCAAGGCAGGTAGATAACTTGAGGTCTGGTGTTTGAGACCAGCCTGGCCAACATGGTGAAATGCCGTCTCTACTAAAAATGCAAAAAAGTATGTGGGCATGGTGGCATGTGACTGTAGTCCCAGCTACTTGGGAGGCTGAGGAAGGAAAAGTGCTTGAACCTGGGAGGTGGAGGTTGTAGTGAGCCAAGATCATGCCACTGCACTCCACCCTGGGAGACAGAGTGAGACTCTGTTTCAAAAAAAAAAAAAAAAAAAAAAGATGCTAGAGTAATTGACATACTGACATACATAGGCATAATATGAACCTTACACCTTATGCAAAAAATGAACTCAATATGGACCACAGACTTAAATGTAGAATGTGAAACTATAAAACTTAGAAAAATAAAAAGAGGAAAACTTTGAAATTTAGAGCTTGACAAAAGTTCTT